AATAATGAGAGTGCCTGAAAGGGCATGTGAAAAAGCAAAACTCCTCTTACTTTGAAGCAAAAAGTGGAATTCTTTTTTTTTTTCTTTTGAAGAAAAAAAAATACTTTTGCAAATTCTAAATACTTAACCCCTACTTTTCTGACTAATCAACACAAAAGGTGGAGGGAGAGAATTAAAAATTTTTAAGAAATTATATATTCATGCAATCATCCTGCGACCATGTGGTTCTACAATATCAAGTAGTCATTATACAGTTTACGTTTAAATGATATTGGTTCATTTTTTGTTGTTATATTTTCAAATTCTTATTTTAGTCATTATATTTTGAAAATGTCGATTTTGATTTTGATCCATGTACTTTAATAGGAATTTACACGCAATGAGATCATTTTAATACATATTTATGACCACGTTTCAATAAATTTAGTTCCGTTTGCTATTCTTTTGTTTTGTTATAAACTTTTTAAAAATCTAAACTAAATTAAAAAAAAAAACATTATGAAAATTTGTTATTTGGTTTTAAAAATTGGCTAGGAATTCAAATACGATAAGCATACTAAATAAAATTGTGAGAAAACAAACATAATTTTAAAAACAGACAACTAAAAACGAAATTGTTATCAAATAGAACCTTAGTTAGTGAAGTGTAATGCTCTAAAATTGAATGATCAAAATAGTCACTTAACAAGTACATGAACCAAATATATGTGTTTTACAATTACACATACTAAATTGAAGCGTACGTGAATCAAGATAGAAATCATTTTAAGTCCTCTTGGTTCAAATTTGAAATTCTGTTGAAAGTGTTATTCTCTATTCATACTAAAAATTTTCTTGAAATAATAATGACGTAGAGTAGCATATGTACCAAATTAATACATGAAATTATCCCAAAAGCCAAATTATAGTGGTTGAACATTAAAAATAAATAAATAATAAAGTTGATTGAGCCATCTCTCTGTCTGTGAATCATTAGAGAGAGAAAGGGGAGGAGAGAGAGAGAAAAATGGAAAAATAAAATAATAATAATAGTGGTGGGGGCATCTTTTAATAACGACAACAGCAAAAATAAAATAAAATATGCAAATATTTATTTATAAATAAGAGAACCATGCCTTTCTAACATGGACAAATTAAAATACCTTTATAATTATGATTTTCATATACTCCCAAACATTTTTTTCCTCTCTCAAAATTTTGAGTTTTTATTTTTCTTTTTCTTTTTAGCATTATTCTTTAAATTGAGGATTTCATTTTCATCACTAAATGAGAGAACAAGTGTGTGTGTGTGTGTGTTTAGACTTTGGAGATATCTTGTGATTGTTGATTGAGTATGAATGGGAGAGTTTGTTTACAAGTTTGGGTTTGGTTTTTTTTAATTACTAACTCGTTCTTGTTGTTTTGGGAAGTGTTCGGGTCTACTATGACATGGTCGGTTGAGTTAACAAGAATTCACTTTATACTAATTTTATTTATTTTGGTACTTGTATTTCAGCCAACTTTTGTTCTTTTTAGTTCAGATACAAAACATTGGTTTTAGTTTCGTACTTTTAAAATTGGTCCGGTTTGTAAAATAATAACGTAAGTTTTGTACATTATAAAAACTCTTCCATACAAATTTATGACTACGTTTCATAAAGAAAAAAAAATCTCTGTTATGCTAAAATTGAAAATGAAAAAATGGGACAAAAAATAAAATAAAATAGTCAAAAGGACCAAAAATTATAGTAAACTTTGTTTTGTTTGCATAAATATTTGTTGAGTACATATACATACGCGTGTGTCTATATATATATATATATATATATATATATGTTTTGATGGGGCTGTTTATTTTTTTCAAAATTATTTTATAAAATTTGAGATGGGGAAGTTTGTAAAAAATGAGACTATTATGTTTGTTAAATAATTAATGAAACTTTTATTTAAGAGGAAAAGGAAACCATATGAATGTGGGTTTCAGATTATTTTAATTAATGGAATAAAGGAGAGTTTAGATAAAATGGAAGAAAAATATTCATAAGAAAACTCCCTTTTAAAATATAGGAGAAAATGTAATCATGGTACAAGACAACCAATAGAAGAATTTCTAAAAAAAAAAAAAAAGCACCAATCAAAGAAGATTGATGCTTTTTTTTATATATAAATATGAAAAATAATTGTTAAAATAATTATTGAAAAGTACTTGAATGAAATTATTTTAAGGGAACTAGTGAAGTGGTTGAGAGTTTTTGAATGTGATTAATGAACCCTATACAAAATTCTTTAATGATTTTTTTCCTTCAAATCCATCTGAAAAATCTAGCCCTTTTCTCTTACACAACACCTCCCCAATCAAATAACTTTATCACTTGAAGAAAAAAATCCAATCATATAACACTAATTTAAGACAATTTATAAGGTTTGACCGATGAAATTAATTTTGTCAGTGCTTCGAAAAAAACATAAAAATTAAAGTTTAAAGACAATTTATAATTTTTATACGCAATGTAAATACTTTAGGGGCCGTTTGATCCAAGATTCTGGTGAAACAGGCATTTGAAATCCCACGTTTGTTTTGTGGTAATGTAAGATACCTAAGTATCTCGAGATGTTCGGGTATCCTAGGATCCCCATTTGGAAGGCATTCGAGTCGATTTGAATGCTTTTTTGAAACATGGGTTTCCATGATTTCCATGTCGAGGACATCCAATATTGACATTTTTACCCTTCGTTATTTTTTCATATATTTTCTTTTATCAAAGTTCTTTGGTTTTATCTGTAATTTTATAGTTTAAATAAGTTAATATACTCATTGACTGATAAGCAATTGAGTATATACATGTATTATATGTACACTTCAATTAAATTATATAATATTTCCATTTAATTTTAACATTTTTTAACGGTCAGCTTATCTTTGATATTTTTATTTTTAAAAGAATATAATTTGATAATATAATAAATGAATTTTACCCCATAGAACATTAATTCTATAATTATATTTTTAAAAATATTAAAGTTGAAAATGAAATTTATATTCCATACTAATTATTTTTAAAAAAAGTCTTATATTAATATGAATTTTACCTAATAACATACAAAAATTAATACATATACGCAATTAATATAAAAAACCATAAAATATTAAATTAATTTTAGGAAAATCTATTATATAAATGCAAAGTATATTAGATTAATGTATAAATTATATGAATAATCGTAATGATGTTTTTGGAACATTATATAAATTTAGAACATTCCCATGAATAAATTCTACAAAACAAACGTGATTATCCAAATATTCCTGGACATCCTTATATATTTTCCTACGAAACAAACGTGACCATTTGAATATGTCGGACATCTAAAATTCCAGACATCTGAAATTTCAGGCATATGAAGATGTCGGACATTTGCATTCCAAAAAACAAACGGTCCCTTAATGTAACTTTATGGCTACATTTTAAGAAATTTAGTAAGTAAAATGCTATGTTAACATTTTGATAGAAATAAATAAAATAAAAATAAAATGATCAAAATGGTTACTTTTCTAAAATACATAGACCAAAACGAATTTTTCAAAAGTTTAAGAACAAAAAAAGATTAAACCTATATGAACTAAAACAATATCTAAACAGAAAATTAAATTAAAATCAAGTGTAGATACTAAATTAGTAATTTAATCCAAAGTTTTTTAATACAAAAAAAAAAAGTCTTTTAGATTCAACTCCCACACCTTGAAATGATTAATAATTTTAAGAATCAATTATTTCAATGAAAAAAAAAAAGAAGGGAATAGAAAGGCTGGCTAGAATTAGAAAACAAATATAAACATCTTGATTGAACGATTTGTAAATATTAAGATTATTGTGGATTTTAAAACATTATTAACAAATCCATAATTGTTTTTTTTTCTTCTTTATTTGCATACTAATAATAAAATAAAACACCCATACAAATAAAATAAAACCAAAAAACAAACATATATAAAAACACAAACAAACATCATTGGGAGACAAACATGAAGAAAATAAATATATCCCATATTATAATAATAATAATAATAACAGTGGGACATCAATTTTTTTTAATTAAAAATAAAAAAGAGATACGTAATCTTTAAAATAAAATAAACCGGCGGGCCCACGGCATCGTGGTTGTCACTCTCATCACGGCCTGATTTGAATATGTGCCCGCGGGGCCCGGCGGCGCGTGTACGCCACGCGCTCCACTCGAGACTGTTGATTCTTTTCTCTCTCTCTTCTTCCTCTTCTTCCCATGTCTGTCTGTACTCTGGTTTAGAGAATGAGCTCAAAAAAACAAAAAAGTTTTTTTTTATATATTTTTTAAATTGTTTTTCTCTTTATTTTTTGGGTTTTTTTTAAAGAGTGTCAGAGGTTCGGGGCAAGTGAACGTGCGCTATTTGAACCACAGATCTGGATCCACTCCAAAGCATCAATCAACTCCTCTCTCTCTGTTTCTCTCTCTAGTTTCTTCTTGTTTTTGAATTCAAAGGAGAGAGAAAGTTTTAGAGAGAGGGAGAGAGCTCAGCTTGTTTTCAGCTTCAAGAAATAATGGCAGAGTAGCAGCTGCAGCAGCAGCAGAAACCAGAACTCAGAAACCAGAAACCAGAACCAGCTGCAGTTTTTTGGTTGAAGAAGGAAAATTTATGGCTCTCTTCTCCTTCTTCTTCTTGTTCTGATAAAACCCAGTTCAAAGGCGGTGGTTTGGCTTTTATGGTAAAAGAAAAGCACCAAACTTTGACCATGGCTCTCTCTCAGAATCCACAGACAAAAAACAGAGACTAGAAGGAAGAAGAAGAAGAGAAAGAAGACATTTTTTTGTTGCTCTGTTTTTTCTTTCTTTTTGGGGTTTTCCCCTTTAGTGAAGGCAAGTTCTTATCTTTTTCTTTTTTCTCTTTTCATCTAACCCACACGGGAATACTTCTTCTAACTTTCTCTTTTTTCCTTTGCTTTGCTTCTCTTTTCCTTACCTCTTTTTTGGGTTTGATGTTTCAGGAAGAAGCTACGCCAGCCAACACTACTTCGTCGCTTCGATTCGTAGTCACAAGTTGGGTAGGTGAAAGGTTGAGAAAGAAAGGAAAGAAAAGAAGAGAAAAGAAGTTTTACTTGTAAAAAAGATAAAACCTCTACCACTCTCTAAAACTAGAGAAAGAGGGAACAATCCAATCTATACCCATATAATCAAGTTGGTGGGTGTGAATACTTTTGTACCAAACTTTCTCTCTGTTTTTTGGTAACACCATGGATTCTTATGAAGCAACAAGAATTGTGTTCTCTAGGATCCAAAATTTGGACCCTGAAAATGCCTCCAAAATCATGGGTCTTCTTCTGATTCAAGACCATGGGGAAAAGGAGATGATTAGATTGGCTTTTGGCCCTGAAGCTCTGCTTCACTCTGTAATTCTCAAGGCCAGAAAGGATTTGGGTCTGCCATCGATTAACTCGCCGACGACTCCGTCGACGCCGAGTTCTTCCCCGTCTCCGTTCGCTCTTTCGACGAACCCGATCGCCATTTCTCGGCAGAGTTCTTCTTCCTCTTCCCGGCTGGGAATCGGAATCAGTATCCCTCCTTCGAGCTCTGCTTCGTGGGCTGCTGCTTTTTCCTCTGAGCTTCAGAATTCCGACGACCATTTGATTAGTCCGGGGAATTTACCGGTTGGGTCGTCGTCTTCTTCGGGGAATTCTTCGGTTTTGCCCTTTTCTGATATGATGATGGATGAATTTCAGCTTCACGACCAACTCTCCTTCCTCAACGACAGCTCTCCGACCCTTAAAAATTCAGACCTGTTTTTCCCGCCGGCGGATTTGTCGTCTAGCCCCACCGGCGGCGGCGGATTCGGGTCTTACGGCGGTGACGCCACTTGGGGCGGAGGTCCGGTCCACCGCCGGAGCTGCTCGGTTAACGACGCCTGTTTGGGAGCAGAGGATTTGAATTGTGGGTTGGGATGGAAGCCTTGTCTTTACTATGCCAGAGGGTTTTGTAAGAACGGAACCAGTTGCCGGTTTCTCCACGGCGACGATGGCGCCGCCGCCGTCGCCGCCGTCGGGTCGCCGAGCAAGATAGAGATGATGGAAAATTGCCACGAGCTTCTCAGATCCAAATCCGCTGCTCAGCAGCGCCTCGCCGCTGCTTCTCAGCTCATGGCCTCTGCCAATTCCTTCCCTTACTCCCCCAAATCCATCAATTTCCTTCTTCAACAGCAACAAAACGATACCCAGAGGTATAAATTTTACACTCCCCTTTACAGAAATGTCACGACATATATGAAAATACAAAAAAAAAATATAATCTTTTCTGCAAACAGGGCCGCTGCGACGGCGGCGGCGGCGCTGATGATGGGGGAAGATCTGCACAAATTCAGCCGGTCCGGCCGAAATGAGTTCTCACTTAACGGCAGCGGTGGCGCCGGAATCGTCAATCCGGCGTCGAGACAGATCTACTTGACCTTCCCGGCCGACAGTACTTTCAAAGAAGAAGATGTATCGAAGTATTTCAGGTTTCTTCAATAACCCAATTCTCCATTTTGTTTCTTCTTCCATTGACATGAACTGTAAAACACATCCCCTGAAACTTTTGTTTTGTGTTCTGAAGCAATTTTGGTCCAGTTCAAGACGTGAGAATCCCATATCAGCAGAAGAGAATGTTTGGATTCGTGACTTTCCTTTACCCTGAAACTGTGAAGCAAATTCTGGCTAAAGGAAACCCCCATTTCGTTTGTGATGCTCGTGTTCTTGTTAAACCTTACAAGGAGAAAGGCAAAGTCCCAGACAAGTACAGGCACTCGCTGTTTCTCTCTGTTTCTCTCTGTTTTTGCTCTGTTTCTCTAGATTTTGTTGTGTGAACTTGGAGTTTTTTTTTTCTCTACAGGAAGCAGCAGCAAATGGAACGTGAATTCTCCGCTTGTGGAACTCCGACTGGGTTGGATTCGAGAGAGCTTTACGATCATATTCAACTCGGGTCGAGAATGTTCTATAATTCTCACCAAGATCTGCTATGGCGGAGGAAGTTGGAAGAGCAACAGCAGGCTGATTTACAGCAAACTCTTGATCTTCAAAGTCGGAGGCTTTTGAATCTGCAGCTTCTTGATGTGAAGAAGAATCAGCTCCACCACCACCACCACCGGGCTCTTTCCACTGGCAGCCCAATTCCGTCCCCGACTCATTCTCCGAACCCGTTTGCTCAAAATCTCATCTTCCCTACCATTCGCAGCAGCAGCAACAGCAGCAGTAGCTCTGATGTCGTGTTGAGAGGTTATGAATCATCTCATGTATTCTTAGATGTCATTGTTGAACTTCAACTTCAACTTGAACTTGACCCTCAATTTGTTTGTTTTGGTTGTTGCAGAGAATGGCTCTTTGCTTGTGCCACAACCATTGCCCGTTTCGATCATGGCGTCGACCGACATGCCACGACAGCCATCTCCGGTGAATAACTTGACCTCTGTCAACGAGTTTCCATCTATCGCTGATAAGGAGAGACCCCAGATTGAGGACAATAATTTACTTGAATGGTAAAAACACAATTCAATTCAAATCCACCATTTGTTTTGGATCTTCAGATTCTGCTTTTTAGTTATATTTTGTCTGTCCAATTCTTTACTTAAATTGTGTAGTAATGAATGCAGTTTTGAGCACAATCTCCCTGATAGCCCCTTTGCATCTCCTGCTAAAGCCACCGGGAACTACGCGACGAACTTCTCCGACACAGCAGCAGTCGGGGAGGCAGCAAACAACTCTGATGACTCGTCGTCAATTCTTCCATCAAATCCGTCTCTGGAAGTAGCAGCATCATTCAAATCCTACAATTGCCAGATCCCAAGGTCAGTACACTCCAAACTCTTCTCAACAAACCCAACAAAACAAAACAAAATCCATGTCCTTAATATGAATTATGAACCACAACATCCATGAATCTCTGCAGGTTCTCCTCCAGCCACAGTGCGATCGGAATGTATGCGGGGACGGGCGGCCCGACGTGCCCGGTAGGAATTTAGCATCCTAAGCAGGTAAAAGAAATAGCAAAAAGACATATGGGGTGGCAAAGAAAAACTGCTTAGTTTTAACAATCATGTCTGGTCAATTCCAGGAAGAGATAAAGTAAGTGTTAACCAAAAAACAGAGGACTACCATATCAAAACAATATCTATAGAGAATCATCAGCAGC